AATCCCCATCATGCTCCTTCCAGAAGGATTTCTAAAAGGTATCCACTGGGGTCAGGGGCTCAGAAATGAGTACTGTGTGCTCCTGGTCCCACATGTCCTGTCGGGGACAGCAGTACTGTGCTCACCAAACACCACTTAGTAACATAAAAACCCAGGTTAGAAAGGTCAGGCCTCCCAGAGGACAGGGGCAGAGGGGGGCAAACGGGAGCTGAGACCCGCATCTCCAGGTCAGTGCTGCTGAGTGGGGTGGGGGCGCCACAGAGCGGGCCAGTCACAGGTGTGTCTGGTCTGTGGAGAAGTAAGTACCAGAATTGAGAGTTAAGTGCTCTGGAAATTTTATAACAATCTGATAGGGTAATTTTATGTTTCTGAATCTAATAATAAAATTAAAGGCCTGTTATTTTGAACTTTGTTGTTCTTTTATTTCATGTTTCTAATAACTGATTTTTACTGTCCCAGACCACAAGCTTTTTAAAAACTGTTCTGTTTCTCCAGGCACCCAAGTCCCCAAACTCTTCAGCCAAATTCCCAAGGCTACTGCCCCCTCCCCACCCTTCCTGCGCACCCTCACCCAGCTCTCCTCCCTCCTGGCTCGGCAACTCCCTCCACCCGTCCCCTCAAGGAGGCAGCTCTCCCTCGGAGGGTGGTGAGGAACTCTCCGTGGGCCCCGGATGGTGAGCTGTGGGCACATTCCCATAAGCCATCTCGAGGTTCAGACCCAACGAAGTTAAGTGGATGATCAGCCAACCATCAACCCAGCTAAACTAACATGGGCTCTGGTCCCGGAAAACGGCCACGGGGAAAGAGGACATGACCAGAAACCTGTTGATGGGCCTTACCGACGCTGATTAACCTCAGGGAGGGCCTCCGCCTTCCCGGCAGCTGCTGTCTGCCCATCATTCTCAACCTGGAAGGCAAGTGAAATGGCCCTCACCCCCGCCTCCAGGAGATGGACACCCATGGAGGAAGCCCACGCTGACTCGGGGAGAAACGAGGTTATTCTGAAAGCGAGTGGCCTGTGTGTGGCAGCAAGTGGATGGAGTATTATGGGATGTGGAGACAGCATCAGCTCTGCCGGGCAGGGCCGACTGGCCTGCCCACTGTAAGGGAGTCCTGACCCAGCTGGAGAAAGGACTGAAGCGCACACCTCCCTGAAACTGAATGAGGAAGGCAGGTGGTGACGAGGGCCGTGACGAGCAGGAGCCATGATCACTGGGGGTAAGGTGGCCCAGGTGGCCCCCACCCCCCTCAGAGAGTGACCACGCTGGGCCTGGTGCAGGTCTGGGTTCCGGCAGACCTCATTTTTAGAAGGTCCAGGGACAAAAGGACAGTGACTTGGACATAAGCATCTTTCGCAGGTAATGAGACGTGCGTCGTGAGTGAGACCAGAAAGGCAGGGTGTGTCCTACTAAGTTCGTGGGTGTCCTACTAAGTCTGCGCCTGTTTGGGTACCGCCTGTCTGGATATTTGAAATATTTAAAAACTTTTAAATATTGTTTCCTAGTAAAGCCAGAGAACAGACACAAGATGCTGTTTTGAAACCTCCTGCCACCATCTGGGAATTCTGACTAGATCCAGTCAAACCCGGGCACGCCGGTGAAGACAGCTGGCCTGGTGACGAGACCCGGGGCTGCCCGGAGCCCGGACCTCTGCCCTGCGGCCCCACCTTCCACCTTCCCCTCGGGCCAGGGCAAGCGAGGTTCACTCCACCTGCTCCTCTCTCAGTAGTGGGCAGTGGCTATCTGGATGGAGTGTGGTTTCTCTGACTCCGAGGCCCTTCTGGAACTGAGAAAGAGGACTGAGATGCGCCACAGGCCAGGGCCAGGAAGGTGACAAGCACTCCTCAGGTGACAATCTGTGACAAGCCTGTGGCCACCATTGAGCTGGCTCAAGAGCCTGTCCCTGCCTGGCAGACCATGCGCTGGACCGAGCTGCACGGCAGACCAAGCCAGGCACTCACACTGCGTGAGACGCGACAAATTCCTGGGAGCCGCAGACCTCTGAGCACAGGCAGGGAAGGGGTCTCACTTGAACCACTCCTGAGGCCTGCTATCTAAATCCCCAATTCTGTGATGCCTCTTTCAAGACCGCTCATCTCTGACGCCAACAGGAAAACATCATTAACTTTAAGTCCATAATCTGGATCTGTCAATTAATGTATTTCAACGTCAGCACTACCGAGCTAAAAACACAGGCAGGTGCTGCGTCCTGACGTTTCCGTCAACGACAGAACGCACACAGTGGTCCCGTGAGATTATCCTGGCGCTGAAGCAGCTGTCACAATGTCACAGCGCGGCATGTTCTGCTCGCACGTGTGGTGATGCTGATGTCAACAGACCGACTGCGCTACCAGCGGCACGCAAGCACCGCACGCCCAGCCGCGCACAGTGCGCAACATCTGATCACAGCAAACAGCTGGTTTATGCATTTACTACTCTGTATGGTTATTTCAGAGTGTGCTTTCTACTCACAAAACAGTGCGCCGTGTCACGCCCGCAGGAGGCCGTGTTTACCGCCTCTCGACTGCATCCCTTTCCCTTGATTGCGTCTTATTGCTCTGCACAGTGACGTGCTGTACGCGCCTATGGCCTACAGCACGAAGGCCAGATGACCCAGGCTGGCGTGGTGCACTCTGTGTTCACACGACGAAATCGCCTAACAACGCGCATCCCAGAATGCATCCCCGTCGTTAGGTGGCACGGGACTGCAAAATGAAATTGTTTTTCTACCTACACCTTTTCTTCTTTACATTCGTTTGCTCAGCTCATGGTGGTGCCACGCACCAGACTCTGTGCTAGCCACTGTGTCCTCAGGACATTTCCAGTCTAGACAGAGCCACAGGAAGTAAAATGGACCCAGCTTCATTCTGCCCTTTCTCCTCTTTGGCAGTGTATGTTCACGTGATCTATGGGGGTGGCTTTGGCTTCAAGTTTATTTTTACCATAAACATTGCATCTTTCTCTTCCAGTCATGTCAAGGAGCCAAGCTAGAAACTGGTTCTTTCAGAAATTAAGGCATAAAAGATTAGGGACGGGATCTACCCACCCATTTGAGAAACATTTTCTGACATCAGTTTCCCGGTAATATCCTCTCCCCCCAAGGGTTCCATGGTGGTCAGAGTGAAAGATTCACTTGTTCTTAGACGCCAATAATCTCCCTGATCTACGCTGACTCATATGGTTGCACACAAACCTAAGCACAAAGCCAGGACAGCGTCTTCCTATCTAAACCTACCTCCTGGAAGACCCAACTGTTTCCAATCTCCTGGCGCTGCCAACGTGCGTAAAGGCCATGTGCTTTATATTCTGAAGGCTATTTAAAGGATTATAGGAAACGCAAAATCATCCGTGATATGGCTTTCAAGTCATAAATGTCAGTGACAGCCAAGTCTGCTGTGCTGGGAACTCTTCCAACAACAGGTTGACAACCACCCAATTCGATCGGCCTGGAGGAGGCTGACAGACAGCTGCTCTTTCCCTAGTTATTCCTAAAGGAGCCAAGAGGCCTCTCCAAAGGCAGCTAGGTATGCGTGCTGGGGGGAAGGTGACACATATGTGGTGGCAGACAGACAGAGCCCAGGAGTGCCGCATGACAGCAGCCCGTCTGCCCGCTCCATGAAGGCTGCCAGCCACAGTGCAGCGCTGGGAGCAGGACAGTGCAGACGCTGCCATAGAAAACTAAAATAAAAGCACGCCACAGCACAGGAAAGGCAGAAAGATGCTCATCCCTCCCACAGCAACTAGGTATCGGGGACCAGAGACCCGGCACCAAGGCCCCAGTACTCCCAGCGGCCATGCCTGACAACTCACGGAGAACAGCCAAACAGACATCCCTCCCTGCGACCACTAACTCACTTCCGAACAGAACCTTGACGATAGGAGGTTCTGCTGGCCAGTCTCTGAAATGAAGTCCCATTTCCCTTAAGTAATGTGTGTGGTGTCTGCACGTGGGGGAGGGGAGGAGATGGATTAAATATGCCTGCTGTAGAGCACACAAAATTCCCACGGTCTTTAGAGATGTGAAATCCCTTTGAGATTCTGAAGAGGACATTTCCTGTTTCTCTTGTTTCTCCCAGCAGGACAGACTCTCAAGGAGCCAGCCAGAGAGAAGTCTCTGATAAAAGTCCCGTGGTCACATGGTTTTCAAGTTCTAACTTCAAGGCTTTTATTCACATCATTCATCTGCTTGTGGGTTGCTGGTGAGTTTTAATCCTGTGATGTTGTTAGATACAAAGCTTGTTCAAAGGCCCACATATGTGAAAGAAACAAGAATTAGGAATGCTTAATGTTTCATTCCGTTGGCCCCCATAACCTTGACACCCATATCCTATCAGCCTGTGAAATCCAAATTTTCTGCTCCCTAGTTGAATGTCTGATTGACCAAGGTAACTCTCAAAGGGAGCCTGCACAGTGGTTTCAGGCTTCACTGACCATTCAGACAGGTAAACAAAGAAGTATTTCGCAAACTGCTTGCTCCATAAAGCATATTCATAACTGGGGACTTTAAGACAATGTCATCCTTGAGCAGTGGTTCCTTGGTAAGAGACACAGTTCCGTAACCGGGCAAGCTTTATGAGTCACACCCCGTTCCCTGCCTTTTCCGAGGTTCGCACCACGATCCTCTGTGTAGGTGTCGGTTGGGTTGCCCTGAAGGGGGCTGCCCTTCCATGTAAGTGACTAGGCCTAATCAAGATCAATAAACATGTGTTTGATAATGATTAAATAAAGTAGTAAATGACCTTCTGCTGCAGTCACTTTACTAATTCTAGACAGATGAAATGTCCTTACCAAATTATCCCCAAAGATTAAGTCCACCAGGCTTTAACCAGATAGCCAGAGATGTCCCCACAGGTTTGGGTTGTACTGGTAGATGACAGCGTCTGTATTCTGATGGTTCCAAAGGCTAACATCTGACTCAACTACTTGGTCTTCTCCCTCCCAAGGTCAAACATCTTGGATCTGAGCTTAGCCAGGTAAATATCTGCTTACTCCAGTACTTACATGGCCTAATGGACCCTCCGCCGACGTCCGCTTTAGAACAGTGATCGCTCCTGAAATCACAAGGACAAAGATATTTTTAAGTTTCTCCTCTTTAAGGACTTGATTCACTGCAAACAGAGAGGCTGACAAAGAGCTTCTATGAACTTTGCTTCTTCCATTTTGGAACCCACAAGCCTTTTAAGATAGTCTCCCTAAAAAAGGATACCTAAAAATAGCTAGGCGAGAGGCCCTATCACTTCAACTCTAGAGGCATTTGTCTAAAAAACTGTGTTATCTCACTTGCCAGGATCCAAACCCACTGGTGATTAGTTCAGCAGGAGCATGGCTGAATTTGGCAAAGACGGATCACCTGCACAGAAATACTCTCTGCTCCAAGTCTCAGGAGGCATTAAACCAAAGCTTTTACCAATCCTAATGCTTTCCGGATTTGACCATATTAATACGCACACACGGCTCCAAGTATATGTATACACACAATTTTAACAATGAATAGCTGTATTACAAAAAAAAACAAAAAACAAAGGAGTTTGCCATGAGATGAAGCCAACTGAATTACACACCTGCTCACTCAACTATAACAGATTACTTAGAGCCACTTCACCTTGAAGAATAAAACCCAAAAAGGAAATGAAAAGCCGTTTTACAAATATATCTACTATGTGCTTCTATACAGCTAATATTTCCCTCTACAAAACACCTTTATAAAAGAAGAAAGGTGGGGAGGACATGCCTTTTAACAGAAACATGCAATGTGTATTCCACCGATTTGTGGAATCTGTCAGCAGAGATTCTAAAACTGAGGGAACTGAACAGGGTGGGAAACAAGTAGAGAGAGGCAGGGAGGGAGGGGGAAAAAAGACCATGCTGCACAGACCCATGTGCAAGCTGACTGCCCACAGGCTTTGTAAGACAACCAACTGGTCTACCTTCTACTTAGGACCCTCACATAAGAATATATACAATTTTCTGCTGGAAAATGTGAATTTTGTTATTTTTAATCTAACCAAGCCAATTCCCTCTTTATATGGTCTGTAGCATCTAACAGCATTAACATTTTGTCTCTGTCAACAATCTCTGAGCAATACCAGAGGGTGGTAAACTGGGGCAACTTGGGAGAGCAGGTTCAGGCCTTGGTCATGCCCTGTCCACCACTCTCCGTGGAAGAGTCCGGCCTCACAAAACTGAGTCAGTGCCAGTGACCGTGTGGCCACCTTTTTATACCAGCTTCTGTTTGAGACAGTTTTGAGGTAAAGGACTGGTTTTTGAAACTAGATATTCATGATGCAGAAAAACCTGCTAAGTCCAATAAGTCCAATCATCAAGATATATATTGAGAAAAAAGAGACAGACTCATAGAAAGCAGACTGATGGTTGCCAGAGGGCAGGGGTTTGGGGGGCTGGGTGAAAGGTGAAGGGATTGGGAAGTACAGACTGGTAGTTACAGAATAGTCATGGCGCTGTCAAGTACAGCATAGGAAATATAGCCAATGGTACTACTGTAATAACTATGTATGGTGCCAGGTGTACAGGAAATATCAGGGGGAACACTTTGTAAAGTATATGATTGTATAACCACTATGTTATGCACCTGAAACTAACAAAAAATACTGAATGCAAACTGTACTTTTAAATTTATACACACACACACACACACACACACATACACCTATTGACCTGGCCGGTTTAGCTCAGTGGTTAGAGTGTCAAAATGAAGGGTCTCTGGTTCGATTCCCAGTCAAGGCCACATACCTGGGTTGCAGGTTCAATTCCCAGCCCTGGCCAGGGTCGTGCAGAAGGCAACTGATCAATTTGTCTCTCTCACATTGATGTTTCTCTCTCTCTCTCCCCCTCCCACCCTTCTACTGTATCTGAAAATCAATGAAAAAATATCCTCGGGTAAGAATTAACAACAAGAAAAAGCCTATAAAAAAGGAATGTTAAAAAAAAAAAAAAGAGAGAGAAGGCTTCTGGTCAAGATGGTGACATAGGTAAATGTGGTCTTGCCTCCTCCCACAACCACATCAAACTTACAACTAAACTATAAAACAACCATCATTCAGAACCACCTGACATCGAGCTGAATGGAAGTCCGACAACTACAAAATTAAAGAGGCCACCACACCGAGACTGGTAGGAGGGCAGAGACTAACGGGCTGGTCCCACACCCACATGTAGGGGAAAAAAATCAGGAGGGACACCTTGGCTAGGCAGGTCCTCCCAAAGAGTGAGGGGTCCCTGGCCCACACCAGGCGTCCAGCTCAGGGATCCAGTGCCAGACAGAAAAGTCCCCATAACTTCTAACTTCTGGCTGAAAAAACAGGGGGAACTGAGGCTGAGGGAGGCTGCAGCTATGGGAGCCCCAGGCTGTTCCTCTTAAAGGGCCCGCACATTAACTTACTCAAACATGCTCCCTCTGAGCGTGGAGGGAAAGCAGTTTGAGGGGCACTAGAGACATACAGGGAAGAACTGAGCTATTTGACCTCGGGATGAGGGCTGGAGAGGTGGCTTTCTCCTGGACAGAGGTGCTTTCAGAGGCTCATGTTGCTTCGGTGAGCCCTTCCCTGGGGCGGCAGACAGTCACCATATCTGGGACTCCAGCAACCTGGCTCACACTGTTGGCCCCGCCCTGGTGATTATCTGAGGCCCCGCCCACCCAACTTTCAGGCCCACCCAAGCTATTTCCAAAGGCTTTACCATAGGATTGGCCTGCCTTGGATGCTGCTTCAGAGTTTCCTATAAACTCTCAAACAAGCAGCATCTGGTCTCAGCGAGCCCCGTGCCTCTCATGAAGTGGCCCCAGGCCTGGCACTAGGAGCAGCCAGCCTTGGTTCACAACTTGGCTTTTCTTGGACACCTCCAAGCCCAGCACAAGAAGCAGCCTTCAGCAGATCACTTTGTAGCTTATGCCTGGTGGCCCTCGATAGAACACAGGCAGTGGCTGACCTTGCCCCAGAGCCAGCACACCCAGTGGACAGCTTCAGAACACATCAAAACATCACCACCCAACCACCTCCACAAGTGACACACTCAACGAGCAGACTCTGGGTACGAGAGCCTTGCTGAAGTAAGTCTTGCTCTGTGTGGTGGGCCCCTGCACAGCTGATCCTCCAAGGTAGTCAGAGGTCAGTGGTCAGTGGGCACAGCCAGTCCTTGCAGCTGATCAGCCTGAGTAAATCCCTCCCATTGATGTGCCAACAGTAATCAAGACTTAATTACAATAGAAGGGTGTATAGGGGTGCACCTCGGGAGCCCAGCTGGGGTGATCAGGGAGGCTGAACCAAAGGATCCTACAGGACACCTGCAACAACAGGTCACCCTATGAAGCCTAGGAGACATAGCAACTCTACCTGATACATAGAAACAATCACAGGTAAGCAGCCAAAATGAGGAGACAAAGAAACATGTCCCAAATGAAAGAAAGAACAAAACTTCAGGAAAAGAATTAAACGAAATGGAGATAAGCAATCAATCAGATGCAGAGTTCAAAACACTGGTTATAAGGTTGCTCAAGGAACTTGGTGAGACATTCAAGGGATTTAGTGAGACCTCCAAGTAACTTAATGAGACCTCCAAGGAACTTAGTGAGAACATCAACAACATAAAAAAGGACCAGTCAGAAATAAAAGATGCATTAACTGAAATAAAGAATAATTCACAGGGAATCAATAGTAGAGTAGGTAAAGCCAAGAAGCAAACTATCAATTTGTAACATAAGGAAGCAGAAAATACCCAATCAGAACAGCAAAAAGAAAAAGAAATTTAAAAAAATGAGGATAGTGTAAGGAGCCTCTGGGACAACCTCAAGCGTGCCAACATTCGCATCATTGGGGTTCCAGAAGAAGAAGAGAGAGCAAGAAATTGAAAACCTATTTGAAAAAATAATGACAGAAAACTTCCCTAACTTGGTGAAGGAAACAGACATATAAGGCCAGGAAGCACAGAGTCTCCCAAACAAGTTGAACCCAAAAAGGTCCACACCAAGACACATCATCATCAAAATGCCAAAGGTTAAATACAAGAGAGAATCTTAAAAGCAGCAAGAGAAAAGCAGTTCATTACCTACAGAGGAGCTCCCATAAAACTGTCAGCTGATTTCTCAAAAGAAACTTTCCAGGCCAGAGGGAGTGGCAAGAAATATTCAAGGTGTTGAAAAGCAATGACCTACAACCAAGATTACTCTATCCTGCAAAGCTGTCATTTAGAATCCATGGACCTATCAGGAGTCCCAGACAAGAAAAAGCTAAAGGAGTTCATCACCACCAAACCAGTATTATATGAAATGTTGAAGAGTCTTCTTGAAGGAGAAGAACAAAAAAAATATGAACAATAAAATGGCAATTAATACATATATCAGCAACTGAATCTACACTCAAAAAGAACAAACAGAACAGAAACAGACTCATAGATACAGAGAACTTTTTGTTGCTTGCCAGATGGGTGGGGGCTGGGGGGATGAGTGAAAAAGATGAAGGAATCAAGAAGTACAAATTGGTTGTTAGACTGATGAACCTCAAAGGGAAGGGGGGAGATAGAACAAAGAACTTCTATGCATAAATGCATACCAATGGACATGGACAATAGTGTGGGGAAGGCGGGATTGGGGAGGAGGGGTTCAATGGGGAAAAAAAGGGGGGACATCTGTAATACATTCAACAATAAAGATGAGTTAAAAAAAAAAAGTATTTTGACAAAAACAATCCTAAGCATTTTAGTCAACGTCAAAAACACCTCATCCAAGTGAAGTGGTCTAGGCTAAAACAATGAAAACCCATGTGCCTCAGACCTAAGTAATACCAACTTACTTTGAGCTGTGACTCCTCTCTGCATATTTCCACACACATCTCATTTGACACTTCACATGCCAACTGTCCTCGTCAGTGCTGGGAGCGAGTGCAAGGGCACTAAGGTGGTGTGAATCACACCAGCAGTAACAGTGTAAGATCCAAAACATGTTCATGATGTGCCAAAAAAAAAAAAAAAAGTTCATTGCCCCTACCTCCCCCACTGCTTTCAAATCTGGATTTGTTTTTCTTTAATAATACACTAATTAATAACTCAGTTTTGATTTTACCTTAAGAATCAGACACGCTACTCCCTGAGGCATACAAAAACTACTGTACTACCCTTGGCTGTAAACATTAGCAAAATTCAGTCACCAAGAAACCAAAAGGCCACTCACGTCTATCCTCAGCAAAGCTTCAGTGTCCAAATCATCTTAAATATCATGCCCTGCAGAGCCAAGGATATAACATCAGTGGAAGTTTATAGCCATGTCTAGCTGTTTCTACAAAGAAAATGTTGAAGGAAGTCCTTTTCTCCTTTCTTATTTTCAAACAGCATCACTCTGCCACTTTTATCAAGATTTCACCAAAAAAGCCCTGACAAGTTTGGTTTGGGGGTTAGAGCGTCAGCCCTCAGACCAGAAGGTCGTGGGTTCGATTCCCAGTCAAGGGCATGTACCTGGGTTGCAGGTTCTAACCCTGGCCTCAATCGAGGTCGTGCAGGAAGCAACCAATGGATGTGTCTCTCTCACATCGGTGTTGCTCTCTCTTTTTCTCTTTCCCTCTCTTCCACTCTAAAATGTAAAAATATCCTTGGGAGAGGATTAAAAAAATTTTTTTTCACCAAAAAGTACCTTCTCTGGGGACTGGCTTATGCTTTGATTTTCCTCCCTTTCTTAATTATACCAAAACTGTGAAAGCATTTGTACATAGAGATCATGGAAATGTAATTTAATCTAGAAAAAAGAACAGGCAGCAATCACAGGAGACAGAGGGGCTAGGAAAAACTGGAATCCCATTCTCAACCAACATTTGCCTCTTTCACTGTATATTTTGGATAAAAGATAATGCACCTGGCCCATGAAATAACCTAAAGATCAGCTCTGTACTCTAGGGTGGCATTCTATTAGAAATCTGCATTTCAGTTTCTCGCCTCTATCCCTAAACCTTTCAAAGAACCTCTAAAAGTGTGTGGTGAAAAAGCAAGCATGTTCAAGGACCACGGTGGCAGTGTAGACTCTGGATCTGAAGACACGACGGTGGCCAATTCTAGACCTGTGGGTCTCACACATCCCCACCCGTCATGCCCTGCAGCACTGGAATCTGCTGGGTTGATCCCTTTTCATTTATAATCAAGCGTTCATCCTCTTATTCCTTATGGGCAAGTTGCCTCCAAATAGAGAATCTCAGAATCTTGATGCACAACAACCATGGAGATGACTCAATGCAGACTTCCCCTCGCTCTTCCCTTCCTGCAGCCGAATACACTGGGCGGCTCACGGGAAACACCGAGGCTGGCCTGCATTTATTAGCGTGAGAAGATAGTTGAAGGAAGGCTGAAGTTCAGCCTAAAATATCTTCATGTCTAGAGAAAAGATTTCAAAATGATAAGATCATCTAGTGGTATTCACTAGGAACAAATCATTGCGTGTTTATAACTTTAAGTCCTTTGATCCTCCTTATCGAACATCAGATGCTCACGCAGGAAAACACACCATAATTACAATACTGGCTGCACTCAGCTTGCCTCTCACGTTGGGCAGAGCAGCTAAATTTACCGCAGGACACAGTGGAAGTCTTCCCAGTCACAAAGATCTTGAGTGGTCCTTGACATCAGAACTTAGCAATCTTAACCTTAAATACGTTTGGCTTCATCACACTTCAAAATTTCTAGCATCTTTCCATTTCAGTGAGGCCTCTCATTGAGCCTCCCCTGAATGCTTCCCAAAATATATAATCCAACCTAAATCTGCCCCATTGCTCACACTGCCGGGACCCAAACACAGGGCTACCACGCACCCTCCAAGCCTCTGTCTTCTTGTGTCGGAGGTGACCACCGGGCCTCAGTCAGAAACAATGGCAGGATTCACGAGCTAACACAGCAGGACCAAAGAGCACAGCGGCCGCATCAGAGGGGCAGCGAGCCCTCTACACGTGTTGGTGGTTATTATTGGGGCTGCTATTGCTCTAAAAGGATAACAGGTTAACGGGATAACAGGAGGGCAGTTCTGGAGCCAGTCGGAGGCCTGGAAGCACAGCCTCCTGGGGTGCCCACTGTGCCACCCTTTCATTCTGCTGGCAGCAGGTGTCACAATGACAACGATTTAGTGCCTAGGGCCCTAGAATACCCTTAGTTAAAGTGACGGTCCCCAGGTAAAGTGTTTGATGTACAAATAAGACAAAATGTATTTAGACCTTGTGACTTCCAAATCCAACTCGGGTTATAGAGGTAACGCTGTAGCCACCAGTGTTCCCTCAAGATTCTGCCAAGATGACCGAGGGCCAGGAGTCCTGGGAGACCAGTTAGCTAGGGTTGAGACTGTTTTTCATGTTCACTTACAATGTCACAAAGAGCAAATCCCTGTTATAAAACTTGCATACCAACCCAAACAAGATTTGGTATTTCCGTCAAAATTATTTTAACAGGCACTAGGGAATTAATCTTAAAATTTCTGTTTCTGGAACCATCTCCAAGTTACACCTGGTCTGTCCCTCAGCCTAACGGTTCCCATTGTGCAGTCCCTGAACCAGCAACATGAACATCATCTAGGAAGTTGTGACACACAAAAAATCTCAGACCCCCACACACCTACTGAATGAGGAACTCTGAGCCGCCGGCAACCTGAACAAGCCCTCTAGGAGGGGCCTGGGAGGCACGCTCGGGTTCAGGAGCCACGGTCAATAGGCTATTAACATGTGGGCTGGGCCACTGCTGAGGAAGCTCTTTTCCTTAAAACATTATCTGGCATTTTTCTGTTCCTTAAACACCAGCTATAGAATGATGTCAACTGTTCCTTTTTATTTTTAAATCCCCATGATGAGGCTGAGGATGATTCATTCACCGCCTTACGTGATCACTGAAATAGTATGGCTCCTTCTCTCCTGCCCCTAATGGAAGGTGACTGCTGCCTGCTATTTCCGACGTAATTACAGGAACACGCCAGTAACACAAGTTTGTCCTTTATCAACCCCAGCAAACGAGGTAATAGAGTGGTAATTATAATACTCCATTCTTTTCCATAATGTGTTCATCCTTTGAAACTGATCATATCACATGTCATAACAAGGGCCTGGCATCAAGCTTAGTTTACTGTAAACAGAGATCAAAACTGCAAGTGTTTGGACAAACCTTTTTCTATTGATAGGAAACAAGTATGCATTAACCATGTGGCTTTATTTCATTTATCTCAGTGAAATGTGGGGAAAAAAAATGATTTAATGCTTATTATGCATCCTAAGGTGACCTCCCAATGCTGAATGGTCTTAGCACCAGACACCACCCATCATCCAACTAATTATCGAAGCAAGAAGCATTACGATGCACTTCCTAAATAATAAATACCCCTTTTCCATACCAATAATTGGCTGAAGTGTGTATTAATTCTGAGGAGTTAATTTCATACCTGCTGTGAAATCTCCTGATGAATTGTGAATACTAACATGTTATTAATTTCCCTTTCCTTTTTGATTAATTTCATACTTATGCTGGGTGAGAAAGGCGAGATTAATAATGTCTCTAAGACAATGTTCAGTTCTTGTAAGATACTAAATCAACCTCAAGTGTTCAAGTAAACAGAACACAGATAAGGAAATAATGATGGAATCATCTCTAGGAGGTGTGCAAGGTGCCATGCGAATGAGGTCCAGATACCCAGAGTGCTCACGCTGGAGATTCTAGTTCGTACTCTCGGGGCGGAGGAGAACGAGCGCTGGAATTCTGAAAACCGCAACTCGCACAGATGAACTGCTGCCCTTACCACTGACTGGAGACCTGGATTTATTCATCGCTACAATTCTCAAGTTCCCACGGGTCCCTCTGTGTTCTTTTTTGGTTTTGTTTTTTGTTTGTTTTTTATCCTCACTCAAGGACATTTTTCCACTTTTTGTTCAGATAGAGTGGGAGGAAGAGAGAGAAAGAGAGAGAGAGAAACATCGACGTGAAAGGGACACATCGAGTGGCTGCCACCCACACGACCCAACCAGGGCCGGGGACAAACTGCAACCGAGGTATGTGCCCTTAGCGGGAACCGAACCCGGGTCTCTCTGTACCGCAGGCTGACGCTCCAACCGCTGAGCCAAACCGGCCAGGGCCCTCTGTGGTTTATTTAGTATCTTCACAACCTGGTTTTCTCTCGACTCTCTCTACTCGATGTGGGAAGAAACAGGTCTCCCTCGTCGAAGGGCATGAAGACAATGAGGATGAACTCAGTCCCATCACGCAGTTTTAGGCCGTCAGGGGCCTTGCGGACATATGCTCGTCTTATTCTGATAATAACGCCTCCATCAACTGAAAAAGTGCTATGTGTCAAGACACTAGGAGGTCTGTATAAGTTACCTAACATAACAGCTCTTTGAGGAAGTACTATTACGTACATTTTGCAGATAAAGAAATAGACTAAGAAAGCTAACTATCTTGCATGGGGACCCCCCAGATCTGTCAGGACCCCACATCGTCCTGCCTCCCCAGGAACGCGAGTAAATGGACCGCTGACAGCTCCTGGACATCGTTCCAGAGGATCTGAGAGCGACAGGCGTGCCAGCTTCCTCTAAGCAGCTCTCGTGGGTCAGCGGGCTCCCGCTGACCCACGTCTGTTTCGAGTTCCAACATTTAAATACAACCTCACACTTCTACGCTTACTAGATTTTCTACTGTCCACTGGAGTACCCTGTGGCTTAAATCTCCCTTCACAAACAAGTGAACTAAGACGGATACCCACGTCCTCAGTGCAGCTGTCAGTCACCTGGCCACTGTCTAGGGCGGTGATCTCCAACGGCAGCCCCTACTACATGTAGTTATTTAAGTGTAAACTAATTAAAATTAAATAACAAATTCAGTTCCTCAGACACACTAGTCACACTTCACGTGGTCAACACGTGGCCCGTGGCTACGGTGACGGACAGACAGCACAAACATGGAACCTCTCCATCGTGGCTGAAAGTTCTGCTCG